GGCATGAAAAGAGAAACTATCTTCTAACTTATTCCTTGACATTAATCTTTTAAAAGTCAGAAGAAGGGCCGGGCAATGGTGACGCACGCCTGTAATCCAAGCACTTGGGAGACTGAGGCAGGAGGATCACTGTGAGTTCAAGACCAGCCTGGGCTACATAGTGAGTTCCAGGTCAGTCTCAACTATACAGTGAGACCCTGTCTCAAAAAACAAAACAAAACAACAGCAACAACAAAAAAAAAAGTCAGAAGAATGTTCCTTTTTAGATGACTCCAACTATGAATTTCATGCATGTGACTTCATGAAGTGATCATAAATCCTCAGAAGTCCAGGATAAGTAAGTTTTTGTTTCCAGGTGCCACATGTGAAACACTGGTAGAATGTCTCCTTAGTGAATGGTTTTTCAGTACTTCCAAGAAAATAATATTTGTGTGTCGGGACAGAACATTCTCTTTTCTTTGTCATCAGGGTGTTGAGGTCAAGAGACCAGCAAAACTGAGAGAGCTCTCTGTAGTGCACAGATTGAGAGAGGCTGTGAGGTACCTTTGCCAATCCATTCTCACTCTGTTAATTTAAGTGTAATTCCAGACCAAGTATTTTGAAGTCATCAAAGATGTGGCAATAAAAGTAGTGTTTCCGGGTAAGGGTATAGTGGTAGCACTCTTGCCTACTAGGTGTTAGGACCTGCATTTGATTCCCAGCACTGTAGACTGAATGAATGGATGAATGCAGCATTGCTAGGGTGGATAAGCTAGAGAAACAGTGCTATTTAGCTTGTTTCATATGCTCATTTACTCCTCCTTTAATTCTATTTCTGTATGTTAAAATGTATGAGTAAATTTCAAAAGCTAGAATCAACTCCCAGTCCTAACACCATTACTCATTGTCCTGAATGTTCTATGTCCTAATTAAGTAAGGTAAGAAAAAGAAAAGCCGATACTCCTGTGTGAGGGAGCTTTCCCATCACCCACAACAAAAGGGAGGAGAGGTTTAAATGGCTGACAGTGGTGGCCGGCTCCAAGGCAGGGACAGCGTGGTGCAAGATATGGTGGAGAAAAGCTGCTCAGTTCACGGCAAGAGCAGGGAAGCCGTGCCAGAGAGGACGGGACCAGGGGTTGTATGTAATACCCAAGGTCACACCCCCGTGACCCACCCAGACACGCCCAGAAGTATGCTTTACTCATCCCCTAGGTCAGCGATGGTGAACCTTTATGGAGACGAGTGCCCAAACTGCAATCCAATACTTCAGTTAAACCTGAGTATTGAAGTTTTAGTTTAGAAAAAACAACTCACACATTAATATCTTTTGTCTTAAAAACAACTCAAGCGCCGTGAGTTTGCCGTCACTTCCCCAAGTGGCTCCTAAGCCGATTAAGTTAACAATTAAGCTGAACTGTTACTAACCCAAAACATTCTTGTTTCAAAAATAAAAAAGCATGAAGGGGACAAGGTTCTGCCGCCTGCCTGCCTCGTAAGCACAAAGACCCAAGTTTGATTCCCCGGTACCAAAGCAAAACAAAACATGAAGTTAGGCTGAAATATTTTTTAAACAGAAAGAAAATCAAGTAAAGGGCAAATTAAGTGCCAAAATATTGTTGGTCTTCAAAGGAAGTGATCCACATTGCTGTATTAATAGCTTGCCCTCCAGGACAGGACTTCTTGTATTATTGCCATTGGTTGAGTATGGTTCCTTGCTTCTGCAGCCCACTGCATGATAAAGTGGAATGTTACTCCAGATTTTATCTTTCCCTTTATATCCTTGCCTCTAGCTTTTCAGAGAAAACATAAGTGTTTTTCTTTATTCTTAAGTTTCCTCCAAAAGGCAACTGTGACAACAGGGGACCCCCTTTGAACAAGCATGAGTAGAACTTTTTGCTGAAAACAAGAAGAGCTTCTCTCCACTTCCACTGTTCTTACCTTGCCTGTAGATGTTCAGATGGTAGGAGTTATCCCAGCGGTGTGGGAGGTTTAACAGAAAAATTTCCCTCCTTTCATAAATAGTTATGAAAGAAGCAGCTTATTATATAAGGGGGTATAGTCAGGTGCCATGCTGGTCCCTTGAGGATGAATAGTTTGCCCCAGTTAACATTTACTGTGTGCATAGCCCCGTAGGTGGTCTCCGTGGTAGGTGCTGCACAGCAGGTATGAAAGGCGTACCAAAGCAAAAGGCACGTGGAATGATATCCTAAAAAATGCACAGCAGAGAGCGTAATATTTCAAAGCACACACAATAATGCAGGCTGAATCCATGAGTACAGCTGGTGAAATCACTGTTAGCCAGGTGGGGATGCAAGAGCTTACTTTTGGTGAAGAGGGCAAAACGGATAAACGCTGTGGTAGAATGTCTTAGCTACAGTATTTATTGCTGGGACAAAATACTTGAGACCCACAATTTCACGGAAAGGTTTATTTGGCTCACGGTTTATAGAGGTTTCAGCCCATCGTCAGCTTGTTCCAAAGCAGGGCAGCAGTCAGAGGGGCCTGGCGGGGGAGAATTGCTCACTGCATAGCAGGCAGAGACAGAGAGGGATCAAGGAAGGAGGAGAGAGGCACTTAGCCCATGTCACCAGGCTTCACCTTTCCACATCACGTTTAGCTGTAAGCTCATCAGTGGTCTAATCCTCTGAGTACCCAAACTCACGGTCCATCCACCTCGCCAAAGTCCCACTAGAGCGCATGAGGCTTTCGGGGGACATCCAGATCTAAACTGTAACGTGGAGACAAGGAATTACTTACTCTGCCTAGGAGGCATCACTGGTTGCTGCTTCTCCCTCATGTTCCTTTCCCCTCACCCCGCATTCAGTTCACTGGCACGTTGTGTACATTTTGTTTGAAAAATGCCCACTCCAGGCGTGGTGGTGCATTACCAATAATCCCAGTACTCTGGGAGACTCAGGAAGGAGGATTACAAGTTTGAGCCCAGCCTGGGCAATTTAGCAACTTAGTGAGACCTTGTCTCAAAAATCTTTTAAAGCTAAAGAGATGCAAAAGCTCTAGGTTCAATCTCCAGCCACCGTACTCCCTGCCAAATGCAGTCGAAGTCCCCATCCTGCTCCTGCTCTTTGCTCCCCCCTTTCCCTGCACATTGTCATCTGTAGTCCAGACAGCATCCGTAGTCCCTGACTGGTCTCCCCGCTCCCACTTGCCTCTTCCCAGTCTGTCCCTCATAAGAAGCAAGAAAGAGCTTTGGAACAGATGCATCAGATCATCCCATTCCTAATTTAAAATCCTTTTGTGGTTTCCCTGTGTTCTTAGGCTCAAACCTGAGTTCACTGTGGCTTATACCTTGCTTGTCATGTGTCCCTGTCTCCTGCCATTGGTGACTCCATCTCTGCCTTTACTTCTGAGCCCAAAAGTCACTTCTTCTGAGAAGCAGCATCGCAGCCATGTTCTCTACGGTGACCTCCCCGAGTTGGTCTCCTGCCGTTTCGCAGTTTGATCTTTTAAGGCCCTTAATGGTGCCTTTTAATTTCACTTTCTTTTTAAAATGTATTAGTTGTAGTTGTTATTGATTCTTTCCCCAGCTGATATGTGTACTTAGTGAAGCTTGCCCATCTTACTGACAGAAATAACTGCAACGCAAGGCACCTAACACTATAGATGCTGAATAAATATTGTTGAAATGAAAGGCCAAGTTATATAGAGAGAAAAGCCATCAAGTCATTGTGCCATGGTTGCTTCACGTGTCAGTGAGAAGGTGGAAATTCAGGAAGCCAGAGAAATGGAGGGAGCCCTTCAGTAGTGAGCAGAGATTCAGATTTGTGAAGGTGAGGAAGACATGTGCCAAAGCCCGGCACTTGTCTTCGTCTTGTTTGAATCTAATTGTTTTAGCAATTGTGCCCAAGCGGGATTAGATAAGGAAGAGGCCTGAGTAAAGCACTTTGTGTAGAGGTTATTGCATCAGTGAGGAAAAGGTGATAAGAACTTGGATAGGGAGATGCTGGGAAAAGGAAAGGTGGATTCAAGACTCCACAGTTTGGAATTTTGTGGTAACAGTGGAACAAACAACTGAGATATAATATACTGTGCTTCCTGTATTATAGGACATTTATACTGCCAGCCACAAGCCACACTTTTAAAAAGTACTTCTCTCAACTGAAGGGCATAGGAGGCTATCTATAACCACCAGATTTCGCTTGATAACCTACAATGCTGACACAATGGAAAAACCACATTTTCTTTATCCAGTCTCCAACTGATGGGCAAATGAGCTGTTTCCAAGTTTTAGCTATTACAAACTGTAATAAAATGGAATACTACTCAGCCATAAAGAATGAGAAATTAGATTCATTCATAGGAAAATGGATACATATTGAGGATATACTCCTAAGTGAAATAAATAAGTCATACATGTATGAATACTGAATAGTTTCTCTGGTGTGAAAAACTATAATAGTACATAAGATCCTAATGAGATAATTGACAATGTGAAATAGGAAGAAAAGGGCTAAAGGTGTAGGGAAAGTGGGAAGGGTATGGGAAAGGTAATAAGGGAAAAGAAAAAAATAGGAGACAATGAAAAGATGGAAATAAAGTGTTTGTAAATGGGGAGGGGAGGAGGGGGTGAAGGGAGGGCAGGGGCAAGGGGAAAAAATGAGAACTAAGACCTGTCATGTAAAGGTACAAGATCCCAACAATGAAAGTAACTGTACTGTATACCTAAAATGTACCAATAAACTCAATGAGGAAAAAAAAAATACTGATACAATGATGTCAGGATGGATTTAGGTGAAGAAAAGAATTGAGATTAAATTTTCCCACGGCCATTGATTTATTGGATGAAATAATATGCATGAAAAATAGTGCTATAAAAAGTGTCAACTTTTCATCCAAATATTGAAAATTCATGCTGTTCTTTACATTTTATAAATCTAACATTTTTTTCTGCCAAATTGCCAACTGAAAGAAAACGGACATTTTTATTATGGTGCTATGTTTAATATTATTACTATTACATTTAATAGTATAGTGCTACATTTAATATTATTGTTTTTTTTAAGCACTTGAGCAAGATGACGAAAACAATGACAAACATGTACCTGTAACAGAAGCTGAAGGTGTACCAAATTCTCAGGTATGATAATTTCTGTTACTTCTTTCTGTGTTGAGAGCCGTAGAGAATGTGGCTGTTTGCGGATGATGCAGCATTTACATCTTGTGCTATGTAAAAAGCCCTATCAGTGGGAATAGTGTGCTTAGTTTTGATATCAAGGTAAATCACAAAAAGGATGCTCAATTGTTAATCATATTTATAGGAGACCCCCTAATGTGAGGTTTTGCTTTCTGCAGTTTTAGTGACCCATGCTCTGAAGATACTAAGTTGAAAAGCCCAGAAATAAGTAATTCATAAATTTTAAATCTCGGGCCACAGTAAAAAGCATTAAAAAAGCTTGAGCTGTCTGGTCCTGTCCCACCCAGGATTCGTTTCATTTCTTTTTCCATGTGATCCATGCTGTATATGCTACCCACCCCTTAGTCACTTAGTAATTGTCTCACTAACCCTCATGTAGGTTACTGCTGCATCACAACGCTTGCCTCCCTTCATTTCATTCCAGGCATTGTATCTCTTATATCATCATTAGAAAAACAGTGAATACAGTACAATAAGAAATTTTGAGAAAGATCACATGCGTATGACTTTTATTTTAATATGTCATTGTAATTGTTCTATTTTATTATTAGTTATTGCTGTTAATCTCTTACTGTGCCTATTTATAAAGTAGAGTTTATCACAGATGCTTGTACACAGGTACAGGAAAAACATGAGGATGCAGTATTATCCATGGCTTCAGGGTGTCCATTGGCAGTCTTGGGATGTGTCCTTTGTAAATAATGAGAGGCTGCTGCATAGTTTGATTCTTTGGGGAGGTACAGTGAGAGAGAATACACTTCCCAGAGAAAACAAGGACAGAAAGTGAAGAAATGGAGGCAGAGGCCACCTTCAGGGCAGACCTTCCCTTAAAGAAGGCAGAGGAGAATAAGAGCTCACAGCACCAGCGGGTGGGGCTGGCTAGACAAGTAGTATTATGGCTCACCTGACAAAGGTTCTGTGCTGTCCCCTAATAGCTAAATCGTGGCATAGATGTGCTTTTGGTGGCATTGTAACTTCCAAATATGACTGTGGCATAAATACTCTGGACACTACCATACTGTCACCTGTTAACTATATCTAAAAATGGAGCATTTGAAGACTCTTAGCCTGGATGACCCATCTTGAAGGTTCTAAATCTGTTGGTTCTTGTCAGAAAAATCACATTAACTTTCTCCATCAAGATTGCACATGTTAGCTAGTCACACGTTAGTGGGAGGCTAAGACAGAAGGATCCTAAGTTGGAGCCCAGCCTAGGAAACTTAGTGATTTAGCAAGATCCTGTCTCAAAATAAAATGAAACATTTTTAAAGGCCTGGGGTTAAATCCCTAGAACCACCCCCACCACTACCATGAGACAGAGAGAGAGGGAGGAAGGAGAGAGAGAGAGAGAGAGAGAGAGAGAGAGAGAGAGAGAGAGTTAATATGCTGTAATAAATACACGTTGCTTTGCTGTTGTAACACTAAAGATGCTGCTGTCTATAGTCTACTTGAAATTACAGTTCAGCATTGCAAACAGACCTGCACAGAAATTCCCCATCTCAGAGTACTACTGAGTTGTGCTACTCAGTAGCTGAGCTGAGCTACTGAAAGTGCTTTCTCAAAGATTTCTTTAATCATTAATTTATTGGTGATATATTTCAAAACTTAAGCTATGATCTTTTGTTTTGAATTTTTACCCTGTGAGCAAAAGTCTGTTTGAGTGCAGTTTTATTTCTCAAAAGGATCCACAGCTCTTATTGTTTGGGATTTGGGGGTTTTATTCAGCAGCAATAGTACAACCACCCATCTACAGGATGTATGAAAGAAGGAAATCATGAAACTAGTCAGTCAGTAATTACATCAAGAATAGATTCAGTTTAGGTTTGGAAGTCAAGAGTCAGGGTCATGGGGAGCCATAATTCTTAGTGGTGCAGGCCAGGGCTGTGTGGGAAGGAAAGCAGCTGTCATCTCCTCTAATGTGTGTGAGAAAGCTTGACCTGCCACCGCCTAGCACTACCAATTTGATTCCGCAGTTCCGCCTGTCCGAATGCCTGAGGCGGGATCCATAGTTCAAGTTGTGTGAGATAAGCTTAAAGAAAACTTTCAGGATTTTGCCATCAGGTTATTGAACAGAATCAGAGATAAATGTGTGTGCTTTCGGACACGTGTGCATGTGTATAATGTACACAGCAGTTTATATATTGGATGTTCGTGTGTATCATTTATTGAACACCAGTATGCCAGACTCAGTCATATTTCAAGTCACTGCATCCTTCACTCCAGAGTGTATTTTAAGCAGTTTAAATAAACCTCCTCTCATCTCTGCTAGTCAGTGCATGATAAAATATATTACTGTGGGAAAACCTGCTCCTAGGCTGTTGAAAACTTTGGGTATGTAAAAGGTTCGGACAGCCACTAGCTCCAGTGGGCCTTGTTGTAGGTAGGTCTCCCACCTACCCGAAAACCTGAACTCTCCTCATTCATTGGCTTCGTGCTTCCTTTTCTCCCGAATGTATGCTGTGACGTGTGGACAGAGTGAAGTGAATATTCAGACTTGGGTTTGCATCCCAGCCCTTCTTCCTCACAGCCAGTGCCTTTGAGCAAGTCCCTTTGAGGCTGTGAACCTCTAAGTTCCTGTAGGGCAGAACCCAGCTTTGTCACCATGGTGCCATGTGCTAGGAACTACCTGGCATGCACTGTTTTTATTTCTCTAAAATGGAATATAAGGTTGCCATGAGGTTGAAATACAAGAATACAAATAAATAAATAAATACAAACACCTACAAAGACCGGCATTGTAGCTCAGTGCTAGATAGAGTACGTGCCTAGCATACATAGGCCCCGAGTTTGACCCTCAACGCCAGAAAACTTGCACACATCATACACACATGCACACACATGTGCGCACACTCACACACACACACACACACACACAATCCTGGCACCTAGAAGGAAGTGTGATGTGAGGTTTAAGAGCACTGCCTCCAGGACCTCACTGTCGGAGTCCTTTCTGGGCTCTGAGACAGTAGCCTTGGGCAAGTAACTCCTGCACCCGTATTCTTTTTTCTATAACAGCATTAAGCACGAACTTGTAGCACGTCAAACACACTGGACTCTCTTCTGAACTCCGTTTTTGTTCACCCACTTAAACCTTACAACAAACCCTGCAAGGTGGATTGTACAGTTACCACCGTTTCACAGACGAGCCCGAAGGTGGTGGGGCTGGGTTTCAGACCAAGGCAGCCTGACTCTCCCACCCACCGCACCCGCACTCTCCCTTTTAACCACTCTGCAAACTTCTTTTCTAAGTAATGTCTATAAAACAAGGATGATTGCTGGGTAGCTGTTAAATACTAAATGACCCCCCGTGGAACAATGAGGGGAGTGCTAGTACATAGTAAGCGCTCAGATTTTATCCTCCGTCCCTTGTTATCATATCATCTTGATCATCTGTGCACTGAAGATCTCTGACATAGCAACCTGGATTGCTGCTCTCTGCCGTTGCGATATCACATAAATGAAACACCCCAGTCCCTTCATTCTTTTCATAGGACTAACGGATTACTGAATCTTTGTCAAAAAGTTACTGTTTTCCTAGTTTTTATTTAGATCTTCAATGAGTAATTTCAAACTTGCTGAACTTGGAAATTCCTTGATTCAGTTGGTGATTGACCACAGGATTCAGTAATTATTTTCTTGGTCTCCTATCCCTCATTTGAATCCATCATTTTAATATTAGGTGATGACAGTGGTAAATTATACCAAATGATTAGCAAATATTTGAAAATTTATCAGCAGCCAAAGTGTGCTTTGTGTATGTGTGTGTGTGTGTGTGTGCGTGCCCTCCACCACTGAGCTTCACTCCTATATCTGCTTGAATTTTTTGAGACAGGGTCTCATTAAGCTGTCCAGGTGGGACTCAGATTTGCAGTCCTCCTGCCTCAGCCTCTCTTGAGTATTGAGCTCCTAAACATACACTCTTTTAATCCCAAAGAAAGCTCTGGTTTGAGGCTGTCATAGCAAACAGATGCTCTTTTAAAATTCTTTAGTTTGGGATTTATTAGTTTGCTTATTCTCTTTGTTTACTATAACTCCGTGAGGATAATAGATTTAAAAAGTATTTGAGGAATATCATATCTGTAAGTTCCATGGAACTGGCTTCTGCCTCCTCCTGTGCTCTCAGCATCCCTGGCAGGAGGAAGCGTTGTGAGGATTGTACAGGACGGGTCTGTGGAACCGGGCTGGGTGTTAGCACGAGTAATTCCACAAAGGAGAAGGACCAGAGGAATGAGGCTCCCTGGACTTCTGCCTCCTGTTCAGCGAGGGGTGAGGAGTCACCGAGAGGCATTTAAGGCTGCCTGATGCCCACTGTGGCATCTGAGGCACTGAGAAGCAACACTGTTAAAAAAGCTACCATCACACTTTCGTGTGCCTGTCTCATGGTGCGTGCTTTGTAGTCCTTTCCCCCGATCAAAGGGTATAGTTTTCCATCCTAACCACAAAGAGATTTTTCATAGTTTTCTTTTGTTCCCTGAAGGAATTTGAAAAAATAAATATTTGCTGTCCTAAAATTATCTTTAAAAAAAACTACGACAAAGAACGTAAACATTATGTACTGCAAACACATACCAAAAAAAGGAAAGGGATCAAGGGACAGAGGAGTGAGGAAGAGGGCAGGGAGAGGGGATGAAAAAAGGAATTAAGACACGTTATGTGCTTGTTCTGCGTCCACACAAGGCACAGACACATTGTGTGTTGCACACGTGCTCTAATAAAAACATAAAGCTAAAACTATGACTCATCTTCTGAATTTTCCTAAGAAGAATAATATTTTCTGCTTTAGAAATAGACACATAGCATATAGCTGAGTAACATATTACCCTAACCCAGTGTTTTATTTTGTCATTTTTATTTTCGGTAGCAAAAACTAAATTTATTTCGTGAGTTTGTTTTCAGGGCTTAATATTTAATAGAACAAATATATTATGTAGCAATCAGTAAGAATTTGTTTGAATGCCCTGAATTTGTGCTGAGCAGCATTGGTGTTGGATAGCATTCTGCTGTTGTAAATGTGATCTCATGGAAAATGTACTCTCTTCCTGGTTTTCCTTTCCTGATACCAATTTTTGCATGGTATTTTGCTGAAGTGTTTTAGAAAAAGTGATTTTTTTTGTTGTGTTTGTTTTGAGGCAGGATCTCACTATATAGCCCAGGCTGGCCTCAAACTTGTGGTGAGCCTCCTGCCTCAGCCTCCTGAGTGAGTGCTAGGATTAAAGGTGTGCACCATCATGCCTGGCTTTAGAAAAAGTGATTCTTAAATAATGCATGCAGCGTTTTCAGACTTGCAACTGTGCTGTTTCACCTTTGTCACAGAAAAACATTTATCATCCATATGTCTTTACTAAGGGAATCCTGTTCACATTTCACTTTTACCACTAAGGAGATGGACCCAACATCTTCCGACTTCATTTATAAAGGAAACAGACTTTTCCATTGACGTTCACAACATTCCTTTTCTCAGATACTGAAAATCGTGTGAATAGCTTTAATTATACATTACAGAGACTTTTTTCAAAGCAGATCTCAAAATAAGGGTCTTAAATAATTCTTCTGATGGTTACACATTAATCTTTTATTTTTTCTAGCTTTACAGTGTTAGGTAAACTGTTTATAGTTAATTTCGCATAGATATATTCAATAGCCCAACAATGAGAAAGCCTAGATCAAGAGCTGTTTAGTTATCTTGCTTTCTCCTAACATAACAAAGCTCCCAAAATATATTATTAAATTCGTGGATTTCTTGAATTAAATAACTAAATTGTAGTCCTGTGAAAAGAACCATAGAGAGCGATGTTTAGTGTAGTACTTCCGAAGAACACTGCCTTATAAACTGTCCGGGATGTGTGGACATCTCTCGGGGCTCAAAGTTCCTCAGGAAATGCCAGCAGCTTCCATTACATCCACTTGCAAACCTGTTTTGGTAGTAGTTTTATAAGAAGGGTAATAAGATTGATTGTCTCCTGGACAAGAACACCATATAATACATCTGCAGAAACCAGAAAGTCAAGACAGCAGTGTCTTTTCTTTAAGTAGAAGATGTGAGGTAAATACAAAATAAGTGACCTAAACCCACTGTCAAAGGCAATAGTGTTTTGTGTTTAAAGTTCATATTTGATTTGTGTATCCAAGTATCTAGTTCTAATAAAAATCATTCCTCCTAGAAGAAAAGTCTTTGTTTAGGATCCTAATCATGAGGGGAAGAACATTTAGAGCTCTTTACAAATTTGTATTCATACAAAAACAAAATAATAGCTAGGTCCCCTTAAGTCTCTTCTTCTCGGTCCCAGTCTTTTATTGCTGATGCTTTTATCAGTTGTTTAAAACTATATGTGGGACCTGTGGCTGGTAGGTTAAACTGTCTCCAGATCAGGATGCTGGGAGCTCAGCCTTGTTGCTTTGTAAACTATGTGGTGAGAGAGGAGGTGGAGGTTTCACTCTATGCAAAGGTAAGTAGCTTCACAGTGCTCACCTAGAAACTGGCCCCGCCTGGGCCACAGTCCATCCATGAGCTCTGTCATTAGGGGACCACACTGGGTACCAGTGAGAGGGAAGGGCGGGGGAGATGGAGAGGAGGGGAAGGAGAGAGAGAGAGAGAGAGAGAGAGAGAGAGGCAGACCGGCTTGAGTAGTGCTGACTAAACCAGCAGGACCCAAGGTTGGAGGGTCTTGGCATCCTCTCTCCAGTAGCAGAATGCTGTCTTAAGCACTGTGAAGATGACATGGAAGGAGAGGATAGAAATCTTAGACTTAGTCATAACGAATTTTCCAGGTAACAGAAACTGATTCCTTAAGTACTATAAGCTGTGATCAACATATGTGGTGAACATTTAAATTTATTACCATTAATCCACCTCACAGTGCTCCCTTTGCTCCAGACTTACCCCATCATTCTTTGCCACTCTCTGAAGCAGTTCCAGGAGTCCCTTCAGGGGTGTCTGACGAGGTGTGGTAAAAAGCACAGCGAGTGCTGCCGCCGAGGGCCGTCCTAAGGAAAGGCAGGCTCAAGAAGACATCAGAGTGTCCTCAGCCACCCCGGTCAGCTGGTCTGGCACTGTGTCACTTCTGCCTCTTCTCCACAATCCAAATGACCACAAAAGGCAGATGTTTAAATTGATTAGGACATCAAGGCAGCCACCATCCTGCAGCTACAGGCACAAAACAGAACTTCCAGAAATGCTCTGGAAAGTGCCAAGAGTGGCGGACTGAGAGCGTTCAAAATGAGAAATACGGGGGGGATGGCAATCTATTGTTATTATTACACATGTTTAATATTGAAATGTTCACCATATTTTTCAGTCATATGCTGTGTAATGTTTAAAGAATGTTGAGATAACCCCAGCCTTTTGCCTTTCTAGTTTAAAGGAGAATACTTAACACCGTTTACTTTCTTTTACCCCCTCTATTCTTGATTAAAAGAGCATCTTCATATACCTGGTACCGTCTGCGATTATGGGACCCATTAAAATCCTGACAAATGAAAATACACTCATAGAAGGAAGAACAAGGTGGTAAAAAGATTTAGAAATAAAAATCAAACGAAACCTGAATAATACTTAATAACCTGTTTTTGTTTCGTTGGTGCTGGGGATCAAACCCAGGGCTTCACACTTGAGCACTAGACAAGTCCTGTGCTACTGAGCTACAACCCCCTCAACAACCTCACCGGCTGTTTATTTGCATAAAGCCTCTCGCAGTTTCCCTCTACCTGCTCTCGGGCTCCAGCTGCAGAGCGGCAGCTCTGTGGCAGGGACCCTGAGGTTGTTGATTTACTAAGCGGCCCTCTGCAGAAAAGGTCTGCAAGCTCCACATCTCCCACTCCTCTCCGTCTTTGCTCTCAGCCCGCAACTTGACTTCTTACTTTCCTTGGAAATAGAAGCCTCAGAAAAGAATTTCCCTTTCTCATCTGTATTTTACCTTTCCTCCTGTTCTACTGGATGAAATATTTACATTCGTATTTCTCTCTGAGGTTAGACCATTATCTTCTCTTCCTACTCAAGACAATTACTCTTGCAAATGTACTCTCTCCTTCGTGCACCTCCAGATTTCCCTTTGTACTGCAGATAAACAGGCTAGAATGCGACTCCTCTCCACCCCAGCAAGCCAGCCCCCAAACCCTCTCACCAGGGTCTCTTCCTCGCACCACATACCTCGATTCTCTGCTGAACCTCATGCTGATGAAGCTTTTGTCCCTACTACCTCAGAACAGTGTGGCTCTTTTCAAAATCACGGTTTACTTCTGTCCAACTAAATATCCATTATGTTGAGCCATCTTATCTGATACTTGAGCAGCATTTGTTACGCTTTCCACTGCCTCCTCCCTGAAACACCTTCGCTGCTTTCCACATCCTCCTTAGGAGCTTCTTCTCCTTGACTCCTGATTACTCCTCATCTGGTCAAATTCTAAGCATCTACTCCGCTCTGGGTTTACATCACTCTATTCTTGAAGCCAGAGTGGTACCAGTGACCCCTGGTTTGTGGGTCTGACCTGGACTTCTTTCAACCTCAGCCCGCTAACCCCACATCTCAGTGGGATGTCAGGTGGACTTCTTCAATGCCGGTCCTTTCTTCCAGGTTTTCAGTCCCAGTAAACAACTACTTCATCCTTCCAGTTGTTCAGGCCCAGCATTTTAGAGTCTCAAACCAATCTCTGCTGGTCCTACCTTGGAAATATATCCAGATCTCGACCACCTTCTTGTATCCCTACTGCTACCACCAGTTCCACACGATCTCTTGCGTGAAAAGCAGTCTCCAGCTTCACTACTTCTCCCCACTCTATCCAGAATACATAATGATCCTATAAAATGTAAATCAGATTATGTTAATTATCTGTCTGAAAATCCCAAAGGATTTTGATCTGCCACAGAAAAAAATTTTAAACTCTTTACACAGCTTTTAAGGAAACTTATGTGATCTAGTCCTGCACCTCCCTGAAGAGTCCCACTTACTGCCCCTTACCATTTCTGTCTCCCGAACTGTTCCCCTTGCTGGTCCCTGAACACGCCACATACACCCCAGGGCCCTTGCACTTGATGTTCTTCTGCCTGCCACCTACTTTTTTCGGGGCTTTCACATTCTCCTCCTCACTTCTTTTATGTCTTCCCTCAAATGCCATCTTACTAAAGAATCCTTCCCTGAAATTCCTGTCATTAATGCCTGCAGTCATTTCTCTACCCTCCCACTACAATGTCTCCCTTCTTGTCACACATTAGCACATGGTATTTCTATGTACACATACTGAATGGAGGGACTTCGGTGTTGTTTATTATTCACATGTATAACCTCATAATCTGTAGTGTATTATTGGTCAAATGAAATCTGCTGAATGAATAAATAATTTCAAGGAGTAGGAAATATTAAAAGGAAGTTATGTTTTTTGTTTAAATATTAGAAAGATTGTTATTTTGGAACATAATGTGCATGCCTGTTATCTCAGCACTGGGGAGGCTGAGGCCGGAGGATCTGCATGAGTTCGCGGCCAGCCAGGGCAACATAATGAGTTTTCAAGGCCAGTTTGATTTATATAGTGAGACACTATCTCAAAAAAAAAAGAAGTTTCAGAGTAGTGTTTCATCTGATACAAGACTTTCCAGCAGTCTGGCTATCTAGCAGTAACAGGTTGTCTTAAATAAACTGAGATCCCTGTCCAAAGAAAGACACTTCAGAAAGGACCTGGAAAACCACTTGTGAGGGATGTTGTAAAAATAAATCTCTGACCTTGGTAGAGTTCCATTTGCTGTCCTCCTAGAGTCTGGGCTACTTCAAGGATTGAGTTTGTTTCTTTCCAAGTCGGAGAAACCACTAGATAAAGAGACGTCACTATTCTTGGGAACAAGGCCGTCGTCGTGTCTTTGCATTAAGACCATGAAGCTCCAGATCACATGCAGCCCCTTCCTACAGTTGTTCATTCTGCTGTGCGAAAATCCTGCAGGTTGTGTTGGTTAAAATAAAGATTCCATAGCTCCAACTGTTCCTGCCAAGTACAACTTCAGATCTCTTTACCATCGTGCCCTGGTGTGTCAGTGTGGACCATTCTGGAAAGAATTTAAGCAGAAACAATTTATAACTTGTATATTAAAATTAACATATTTTCCTATTCTCATGTCCTGGATTCACTTCTCTCATCATCATTACTTAGATTCTTTGACCTAATAAAAAATATTATGCTAAAAAAAATTACACTTCATGGATTATTTCCAAACCCCAATAAATGAAATTTTAAGCTTTCTTTTCCTGATTTCTTATTCTTAATTAAATTTTCACCATTTTCCATGTAGCCCTGGAGATGTTTTATTCATGCCCCATAGTAATTTTCCAGTTGTGAAAATTAAATTGTAATCTTGTTAACTGTGTATTTGTCTGTGGAATGATCTGGCAGAGTTAAAGAATTTAGAAGTTTTAGAGTGTTATTTTTAGGACTCTGTATCACTTCACCCTTTTTGCCAGAGTGGTTCCTGGCTAACTTTCCCATGAATTTTTAACCTCTTGCTAGGCTTTGCTTATGTAACAGGAAACAGGCTGTCAGGGACAAACAAATAGCCGCATATCAGGCACACACAGTGGCAAATGATTTAGTTTGCCCTTCGCTCTCGTAAAGTAGACCGATACATGATATCAACTTTGAGACTTTAGGCGTAGCATCTCTTGATTAACAGTGCAACTTCAACTTTAGAAATACAAAATATTTTATCAAGATCATGCTTTAATCCAGCCCATGGGGGAAAAAAATGAGCTTCTGATAAGGTGAACTTGGCAGTGGTGCCATGTCCTGGGACTGTGGATTTAAGTATATCTTTGCCTTTTCTCCAACTCTCAAGGCTGGTGTGATGTGCAAGCTTCAAGAGAGAGATGACATTGGACGCATTGAACTGGTCCAGAAGCTGGCAAGAGAAAACTGTCAGTTTTTGCAGACAGACAGAAAAGAATCGGAGAAGTCTGAACACGTAAGCTTTTTTTCACTTGAGCATGCGGGTTTAGAGGATATAGAATGTTTCTGTCTGATTATGTTTGAAGGAAAGAATATTTATTTTCAATTCTTTAGGTTTGGGGTCTTTATTCGCTAACAAGCCTCTTAGTATAAATGACGGTTGCTTATAGCTAGTGGTTTATGACACTGGATTATAGAAGAAGTCTTCTCAAAAGCAAGCTAGTTATAAATAGATTATATTTAAGCAAATGTGAATGTGTGCCTGTTATGAACCTGATTTGATGCCTTCTAAGTGCAACTTTGGAAAGTTTGTTTGATTAGATAGTTTATAAAATATGGATTTTTGAAAGAATAGACCAGTGTACTTTTATGTTTGATATGGAGGTGGATCTAATTGCCAAACAAATGTATCCTAAGTCACTAGAAATAGATAAGAACAGAAGGACAGATTATAGATGCTCTCATAAAGTGGGAGGGTCAGAGCAAGATTTCTTGGTATCTTTTGAACACTGCATTCCAACAAGAGTGACATTGTCTAGATGCTGTGGAAGCTGGGGGAAAGGACATTTTGCCTGGTCCCCTGAAAGCAGTTATTCAACTTGAGCCTTAGAACTGAGAATGTTGCCCTCACCCTGGGGAGATGTGCATTGTAGTCTACTGATTTCGTTGTTTGTCAGACTTTACTCTCAGTGCAGTATAATCCAGGATTGCTCGGGAAGGGGAACATTCCTCTGTGCTAGTAAACATGTCATTCTCTGACTTTATTTTTTCCTTGGAATTTTGTTTTCAATCCATTATAAAGGGGGGAAAGTTGCTTTGTGCTTTTTCTGTCCCAAGTCCATCAGTACAAATGTCAGGGTTTTACTGAGCAGGAGAGGAGTTGACATGTTCAAGGCTGCTGGCTGTTTGGTTTTAGAAACACAGCACATCCTGAGTTGTGTGGTCTCGAACTGTAACAGTTGGTTTATCAAGGGGGAGAATATTTAGGCAATTTCAAGGCTTGTGATTGAACTGTTTCAGGGCTTGGCATTGACTTGTGACTTGTAAGTGCAGGTGGAAATCTCAGATGCTTCTGCTTTGATAGGTACTATGGGAAAGTTCGGGGCCTTGTTTAAGTTGTTAAAAATACCCTAAAGTTTTACTGTAGCAGAGACTGACTGCCACCCTATCATGACCTTAGGGTATTTAAATGTCCTACTGTGTAGATTAATTTCTCAGAACAATACTTCCTTTGATTTCTTATAATTAGAACTAGAAGAGCAACAACTTCATATGGCTTATTTTATTGATTTCAGTATACATATTTCCCTGCATCATATCTTTGAGATCAGAGTGCATCTTAACCACTGATAATATGAAAATGTCACGGTTGATACCATGAGCATTTTTATTTCCTAGTGATCTTTTATTAAATGAACACTTTGTCTTAAAATTGCTTGCAGATTATAACCACTAAATCAGTGACAACTCAAAGTAGGACAAGATCTTTAGAAATCAAACAGTAGATCATCACATGGCCAGAGTTAATCATCAGCATTAAACCGCAAAAAATTTGTATGCTTATTAACAATATATTGGTGTTGCCTTTTTCTTATACCTACTGCAGTCCAGAATGTTATGGACAGTTATAGCTAATGAGATTATAATACTCTCCAGTTATGGAAGTATAGAAAAATCTGAACTTGATGCTGATCACTATAAAGACTTTTAGCATGAGACAGAAATTTAGTAATTGATCTGCAGTTTTACTTTTGATTATTTAAACTTCTCTGTTAACTTCAAACCTTCGCTTTACCTTTGTAAAATACAATACTAAGGTTTTGGGTTTTTTTTTCTTCTTGCACGATTGTTTTATGATGGATACATTAATTAACTCTGAAGTGTTTGTGCTTCTGAGGGGGAAGACAGGCATAGTAAGCCTTGGAATTATGACTTTTTCCACATAGCCTTTCCCATGAATCTTCACCTAAGAAAAGGTGAATATTAAGGATCTTACTTTCTTTGTGATAAATGTAAACTCAACCATTCTATGATCTCCTTTCTGCCGGGTGATACTGCTTAAAACGGTCAGTTGTCCATGATGCTCCGCTAAATGAATTATTCAATACATTTTTTGCAGTAGTTTATTTAAAATACAACCTGTATGTTATTTTAATCTTTCACGTCCTGTGAAAGAAGCTATACCTTTGCCTGTCTGCGTTCATGGTATGTGTGAAATTGGTGGAGCGTTTTCATTTTTCTTTTCAATTGCAGTCATCTGCTCTTGCTCACGGAAACTCGGTTGTAACACACCATGTACAGAGGAAACTGCAGTTTACTAATGTAAACTTAGGTCTTCCCTTTCCTGTTCTTGTTTTAACAATAATGACCAAACCCTGAAGTTACATAATGTACAGAATTATTTTCTTTTATGATTTTAAAATGTTTCATCTGCCTCATCTATCATTTCTTAGTCAAAGTTGGCTAAGTAGGTAATAGCAAAATTTAAGCTAGCATCCAAGTCGCCTACTGAGTTATTGTTTTATACTATACTCCATTGCTTCTCCAGTTGTAGAATGCCATATCCCTTTTTATACATTTGCACCAAAATGAGAAAGTTATTTTGAAGTACTACTGTGCTGAGAATGGCATGAGTTTGATGAAAAAAAGCCTATCTTGCTGTTACATCTTGTTACGAATTAAAGGGGATTAGACCTTTCTGAGGAGGGATTTCTTATATTTCTTTAACTGGTAAATGCCGTGATTATAAGTGAACAATTAGAGAAATGTCTTGCTCTGTGGTTGTGCAAGGTGTTTCTGAAGTTAAAAAAAAATAGTTAAATGTAGAATTAACTCAGGAAGCACTTAATTTTCCTATTTTCTGTGAACTAGCTATAAGCAAAATTAGGCAGCATTCATTCTTAAGTGTTGAAAATTGTTATGTAAGGACTTAAAGAAAAGGACAGAAATGGGCTGTGTCTTCCAAACATTCTGATAGGAATATTAACATTTAGTCATTAATACTTTAAAGAAATTACTTCTGGGTACGCTTATATTTCCTAGTATTAATTCCATGATTATATTAGTAGATGGAGGGGCTTTTGCTACCAGGTGGGAACGTTTGTTCTTGACCTTGGGGAATGATGACTAATGGTCATAGAGAAAGGCAGGGCAGGGCAGAGCATTTTACTTAAAGAAACCAGCAGGAAGCCATAATTAGCTGTTTGGTGATTCATAGAGAATGAAAAAGGGCAGGCTGGAAGAGGCTAAAATTCAGCTCTGAAAGACCCAATAAACCACCCTGAAGAGTTCGGGCCTGCCTTTCTTGCCATGGAAAGCCATCAAAGAAGAGAAATGGCACAATCAGATGTGGGCTCTGTCAGATTTCTCTGGCATTCGATTAGAGGAAAAATTAAGTAAGGGAGAAGGAAGTGTTGGAGAGAACCTTAGAAAGCTGTTACAGTGAGCCAGATGAGAAGTATTACCCTGAACCAGAGCAGCGACTATAGGAACTGAGAATGTGGTCTGTGTTGAGAACCAGAGAGACTGTACAATTGGCAGACTTTGATGAGTGGGAGTGGCAGATGTATGAGTTATTTTATATTACAGCACTTTTGAATTTTGATTAAGGTCTCTTTGATAGAGAGTAGATTTAAGAAAAAAAAACTCTGCCTACCACTAGAGTGGTTGGTTATCTTTGCAAAAGAAAACGTGATCCATTGGCCTTGCTTTAATGGTTCTGTTGCATATTTCAAGAGTCTGAGATCTTAGTGCTTATCTCATTAGTGAATTGGTAAATGGAAGTTCTTGCTAACTGTGGAGACTACATAAACTTGCTTTGCAGAGCAATTCTTTTGAAGTACTTTAAGCAGAGAGGGTCTGTTTGCCAAAATGAACTGGCTTGTATGGCAAAGCTTTGGCATTTTCTACAATGATGTGTGGACCTTCTTCAGAATTAACTATGACTTTAGGGTTACCCTCCAGAAGTATGTGGTCCAAGTTGATGTGATGAATATTATTATTTTAGAATATTCTCCATCATTCATTCATTCATTCACTAAATTTATATTTGAGTTAATGGTGTAGAGGATTTAGAATAACCATGGTGGCTCCTACTTCTTAAGATGTAAAATCTGGTTGTGGGGAAAATTTGTTGAAACAAGTATTAGAGACACAAAGAGACTATGGTGAGAATATCAAGAAAGACATGGTAGGAGGAAGAAGAAGAATTTACAGTTGCGGAAATAGGAGTTTCTTTTATGGTAAAGGTAGAATTTGACCTGGACTTTAAAGTAGGTTTTGAGTTGATTTTAAACAATTTTAATGGAAGAAAGCATTCCTAGTGGAAAGCATTGTATTAAAAAATGAATAGAGATGTCAAAACACAACATATTTTGGGGAAATCTGAAACCGTTCTGTGTTTCTAAGTACTGTACCAAGAGTCGGAATCAGGAAAGAAATAGTGATAGGGATGCAGAAGAAAGCTTTAGTGGGAAATGAGACTGAGATTCCACAGTGCAGGATTTTGAGAGCTGAGAAGTTTCATTTTGTTTTAGAAACAACGAGGAGTCAGTATTTGATTTTGTAAAAAAGGAAGGTGGGGTGGGGTCTTTATGAGGCACATGATATTGTTTGGATCTGACAGATTAGAAAGGTGAGACCGAGGAGTGGTTGGGCAGAGCAGTCTTGCTCCCGGAATGCATCTTCCCTCAGCTGCCATTGCTGGAGTGAGAACATGGTAGGTTGCTGGGAAGCCACGATGACAAGAAGTGTGATAGTCCTGGGAAGGAGAGAATAAATGAGACTGGAGCCCTAGAGGAAGCAGACAGAATGATTGCCAAGGAAGGGACGGTATGATGGATGTGGGGAGGGAAGGGAAAAGCTGATATCCTTGCTTAGCTTATGTCTTAATTTAGATTTTAAAGACTCATAAATGTTCGCATTTTAGTAGCAGTGAAATAGCTGTATTAAAGTATATGACCAGATGTGAGTCCTGTTTGCTACACTATAGCTATGTCATTTATCAGAAAGCTGAAA